TCTTACATTAATTTGTATTTTCTGGCATTTTATATAAACAGAATTTTATTTTATTTATTTATTTTTTTTTTAATTTTTTTTTTTGAGACGGAGTTTCACTCATGTTACCCAGGCTGGAGTGCAATGGCACGATCTTGGCTCACCGCAACCTCCGCCTCCTGGGTTCAGGCAATTCTCCTGCCTCAGCCTCCTGAGTAACTGGGATTACAGGCACGCACCACCATGCCCAGCTAATTTTTTGTATTTTTAGTAGAGACGGGGTTTCACCATGTTGACCAGGATGGTCTCGATCTCTTGACCTCGTGATCCACCCGCCTCGGCCTCCCAAAGTGCTGGGATTACAGGCTTGAGCCACCGTGCCCGGCCATAAACAGAATTTTAGGCCATGTACTCCTATCTTAATAATATTAAGACTATAACATAATTATTGATATTCATGTCACTGCTGTATCAGTGGTTTATTTCTATTTATTGCTGACAAATATTCTATTGCATATATATGATGTATTTGTTTATCACCTGTGGATGGACATTCAGGTTGTTTACAGTCTGGGGCTATTAAAAATAAAGATGCTATGAATGTTTGTTTAAGTTCATATATGGACATATCCTATTATTTCTCTTAAATACTTAGGAGTGGAATGGCTGGATCATATGATAGATGTATGTTCAACTTTTGGCGACACTTCCATACTGATGAACTTGTATCCTTTCATATTTCCATCAGCATTGTATGTGAATTTCAGTTGCTCCAGTTCCTTGCTAACCCTTGCTGTTTCCAATTTTTAAATTTTAGGTAGCCTAAGAAGTGTGTAGTGCTATGTTATTGAGGTCTTAATTTGGTTATCTCTGAGACTAATGATGAAAATTTTTCATCTGTTTACTTCCTGTCTATATACTTTGGTGAAATGTCTATTCAAAACTTTGTTTATTTAAAAAATGGGATAATTCTTTTCTTATAATTAAGTATAGCAAGTTCTTCATATATTTTGTATACAAGTTCTTTGCCTTATGTATAATTTGCAAGTTAGTTTTCTTTCATTTTGCTAAGATGACTTTGTTATTTTTAACAATGCCTTTTGAAGAGAGAAGTTCTTAATTCTGATGGAGTCCAATTTATCATTTTTAAAAATGGATCATGCTGTTGGTGTTACAGCTAATAAAGTTTTGCCTGATTCAAGTTTTGCCTAACAAAAGGTTTATTCCGTGCTTTTCTTCTGGAAGTTTTCGAATTTTAGTTTTTACATTTCATGTTAACATTTGTATATAATGCAAGATATGGATTAAAGTTATTTATTTAATTTAAAAAATTATTTATTTTTACATATGGATAACAAATTGTTCCAGCACCATTTGTTGAAAATACCATTCATTCTTTACTTAATTTCATTTTCACCTTTCTTGAAAATCATTTAACCACATGTGTACAGGTTTATTACTGGACCATATTCTGCTCCAACGATCTGCCTTAACACCACTTTCTTAATTGCCATAATTTTACAATCTTAAAATCAGCTAGTACAACTTCATCTAACTTACACTTATTTTCTCAAGTTTATTTTGGCTATTCTATGTCTTTTGCATATGAATATAAATTTTGGAATCAGCTTGTCAGTCATTACAAAAAAGCCTGCGGGAATTTTGATTGGGGCTATGTTGAGTCTATAGATAAATGAGGAGAATTGAAATCTGAACATTATTGAGTATTTTGATTTTTGAGCATGATACATCTCTCCATTTATTTAAGTATTCTTTAATTTTTCTCAGCAATATTTCGTAGTTTTTCATGCATGGTTCTTACACATTTTTTGCCAGGTATATCCTTAGGTATTTCATATTTGTTAATGCTATTGTAAATAGCAATGGTGCAAAAGTAATTGCATTTTTACCATTGAAAGTAACGCCATTGAATGTTTCAATGCCATCGAAAGTTTTTGCCATTAATTTCAATGGCAAAAATGCAATTACGTTTGCACCAACCTAATAGTATTATTTTTTTATTTCAATATCTGATTAAAATTTTTGATATCTATATGTAGAAATACAATTAATTTTTGTATGTTAATCTTGTATCTTGCAACTTTGCTAAACTCATTTATTAGTTTATTAGTTCTCGTAGATTTCTATAGATTCAATAAGATTTTCCACATAGATGATCATGTTGTTTGTGAATAAAATTTTACTCCTTCTTTTCCCATCTGAATGGCTTTTTTCCCTTGCCTTATTGTATTAACATTGCACCTAAGTAGTGTTGAATAGAAGATGAGAAAGCAAACACTGTTGCCTTTTTCCTGATCTTAAGGAAATTTATTGTCTTTCAATATTAAGTATATTAATCATAATTTTTTTGTTGATGCCTTTTATTAAATTAGGAAGTTTTCTATTCCAAGTTTGCTGAGAATTTTTTCAGGAATGTATGTTGGATTTTGTTAAATGCTTTTGTGTGATTGTATATATGTGTGTGTGTGTTTCCATTGAGATCATCACAAGGCTTTTATTTTCAGTCTGCTAGTATGGTGAATTTTCTTGATTGAATGCAAAGTACCCTTGCATTCTTGAAATAAATTCCACTTCGACCATGATATATTATCCTTTTTATATATTGTTTATTTTGTTTTGTAAAATTTTGTGAAGAGTTTTGCATCTATGTTCATTTCATGAGGGCTATTAGTTTGTGGTTTTCTTTTTTGATAATGTCTTTCTTGTGAACTCTAGCTGCCTTGAGATACATGGACTCCCAGGTCTATCTCCTTAATTTGGTGATGCTTCTGGCCTCTACCTTGGTAAACTTTCTTGCACTATGGGCTAGAAAATTCTCCAGGCAATTTCTCCCTGTTTGTTTCCCATGTCTCTTGGATCACGTACTTTTGTTACCTGAGGTCCAATGTGTATAGAGACATTATTTTATATATTTTGTACTGTTTTATAATTATTTTAGGTGAGAAAGTAAATCTAGATCAGAAGCACAATTTAAACATGCCTGAATTTTTTTTTAACAGTATGAGATCATATACATTAAGGCTTTTTTAGCAAGAAAATCATTACCCAAATGCATGATGTTTACTATAATTCTTCTAGTAACAGGCCAAGTGTCTATCAGTTGCCCATTACATATGTACACACACACACACACACACACACACACACACACACACACATATCTCCCAGGGATATGTATATAAATTCACTATAAAATGAGTTCCTGAATCAATGCTTTATACAAAGGAGGCACTAATTCCATTAGAAACATACATCTAACATTCTTCCATGTATCATACTCTTGTATTAGCATCTTGTCTGAAATTAGGTTGGCACCCTCATTTCCAGTTTCCCTGATTTCAAAATTATCTGATTACACAGTAGTTCACATTCCAAAGACTTTGGAGCCCCTGGAATGACCATTTCTAGGTATGTATCTGTTAAACTAAATATGGCCTGAGGATACCTCTGGGTTGTGCCTACATAATGAACTGCAACCTAACTTAGTACGTAAACTAACTGACAGCCTAACTTAGCAGTATACTTTTGTAACAAACTGCTGAGTTTCAGCTCATCACAGCAGCTGAGCTTCAATCAATTACAGGCAGCCCACTGATCAGACCTTGTCCAAGTAAGGCAAGCGCTGAGCTACAAAGGAATCAATCTGTTTCTGTATTTCATTTCTACTTTCTGTCCATAAATGTTGCCTTCCCACACTGAGGAGCAGAGCTCCGTGAATCTGCTGATTCTAAGGACTGCCTGACTTGACAGTCGTTCTTTGCTCAATTAAACTGACAGAAACAAGCAATGGGAAAGGATTTCCTATTCAATAAATGGTGCTGAGATAACTGGCTAGCCATCGCAGAAGATTGAAACTGGATCCCTTCCCTACACCATATAGAAAAATCAATTCAAGATGGATTAAAGACTTAAATGTAAAATCTAAAAGTACAAAAATTCCTGGAGGATAACCTCGGAACTATCATTCTGGATATAGGATCAGGCAAAGATTTTCATGACAGAGATGACAAAAGCAATTGCAGCAGAAACAAAAATTGACAAACAGGACTCTTGCCTAAAGAGCATCTGCGTTATGACCCAGAAACCTTCTCCAGGCAGTTTCTCCCTGTTTGTTGCCCATCTCTCTAGGATCATGTACTTTTGTTACCTGATGTAACATTAAAATAAACTATCAACAGAATAAACACACAATCTGTAGAATGGGAGAAAATATTTGCAGACTGTGCATTGGGCAAAGGTCTAATATCCAGAATCTGTAAGGAACTTAAACAAATGTATAAGCAAAAACTAAAGAACCCTGTTAAAAAGTGGGCAAAGGACATGAACAAGACACTTTTCGAAAGAAGACATATATGTGGCCAACGAGCATATGAAAATGTGCTCAACACCACGAATCATTAGAGAAGTGATACTACCTTTTAATAGAAACTGCAGTAAAGAGAAGTCAAGCATGCCAATGTCATACAGCAAGTAAATGGCAGGGCCAAAATTTTAACCAGGTCAGCATGACATCCTGTCAGGTGTGGCCATGTTCCTCAGATAGTCATTCTTTCACATGTGTAAATTTTACTTAATATCTTAAAAAAATCAAAATAAAAAACAATAAAATATTTTGAACTAAACATTTTGTTCTAAATGGCAACAGATGCCATTTGCTCTGGATTTATATATAAAAGTTTCCTTTGATTTTTAGATGAGGAGTAATTGTATATATCTTTACATGAACACTTAGGTAAAACGTGGAGCGTTTAAGCCCCAGATAAATTTTTATTCCCAAGACTTACTTAGATGATGAGTGTTTTTTGAATTTGGTATTTCCCATTCTGTATTTATCTTTTATTAATATAAATAAATATTAATAAGGAATATATTTAAAAAGGTAATTTTATTTTGAAACAGGAGAAAGGAAAATGCGTGCTTCAATAATGTCAGAGTTTACAGGGAAAGATATTGTGAGCTTGTTTGTCTAAATAAATTTTATTTGGAGTTAAGTATGAATTTTCAAGAGACGTTTTTCAGATAAGAAAGCAGTAAATCAAATACAATTATATAAACAAGAAGATCAGAGGGGATTATCCTGAAGGGTATAAAATGAACCAAGAGCTTTTAGTTTGGGTCATCACAGCATCTGCTCACCAATGCAAAGTAAGGTAGGTGTCTATAGTGGAAAGGCTCTGTGAAATGAAATGTTCTTTAGTGTGTTTTTTTTTTCATTTTCACAATTTTATCATTTATTAGAAAGTGGCAAATGCTGAAAGATAATTTGCTTCAATAGGCTCTAACATTTTAAATTATTGCTCCAAATTGTTAAGTAGTAGGTGAAGGTGAGTGAGCTCCATACACAAGGATAAGAAAAAAAGTTATTGACTTAAAGAGAAACAACTGGTTAGTTCCCTAAGGAAGGATATTTGATATGCATAGCTTTCTTCTGTTTTCATTTTGATTTAAATATTGTTATCAATTTAATGATATGTGTATTAAATCCTTTCAATTACTATATTAATGGTCATCTTTTATGAAAATATACTTCTGGGAAATGTTAGAGCAAATTCATTTTTGAGTACCTGCAGGGGTAATGTGCTCTGTATTACAAGCTCTTTTTAGTTATTGAATAGCTAAACCTCCTTTGATAGTGCTCAACACACACACGTGCTGTATAGTACATTTTGCTTTCTAGAAAAATATACTGCTTTAGTGAAGTTCCAGGACGGTTCGTAGATGGGCAATTAGCTCTTTTCATAGTAAGGGGTTTGGAGAGTAAAAACTAATGAAGGAAATTAGCAGAGCAGAGAGGAAAGTGTTTATTAAGAATGAAGCACTGGGAGCAAAAATAAGAGAAAAAAAAGAGGGGAAAAGAGCTAAAGAAATAACATTTCTTGGAATGAGAAAATACGTTGAAAGTAGGGACATACATGGTCATGCATCTGAAGAAGGCCTCTCATTATTTAGGCCCTGCCTGAAAGAAACCATGCCTTCTATGTTTAGGTAGCCAATAAATTATTTATTATGATGTCAGAATAGGTAATTAAGTTGCAAAGATGAGAACCCAGATGACAATAAAGAAGAAATTGTGGTAGATCACAGAGGAAGGGATTAACTAATGCTAATTCGTACCGTGTTATATAGTTATATGATCTTATATAGAGTGCCAGGTGTTTCACATGTATTGTTCTTTTTATGACTTTAGCAAGGGACATATGAAAAAAATCGAGGCACAAAGATATTAAATTACTCAGTTGCACACAACCGCAAGTACAATTTAGATCACTAACTCTTATCAATCTTAGCGCCAGAGATCTGACACTAATTTATCTTACAGAATTACAGTCTATTTGTGCTGCAAAAACTTTCACGATCATCTTTGGGTTCTAAGCCTTCCTTGTATAGATAAGAAAGTTGAGGTCCAGAAAGAGTCTGTGGGTGAAGTTTTACTATTTGCAATAATGAAGTAAAGGAGAAAGAACAGTTCTTGCTTTCTTTACACCCACAAAGTTATACAGCTACTGTGGCTGGTAATTTAGCACTTTCATTTTACACTTTTGTTAGCTTAGAGTTCTACATTTATAGGAGAAACTCCAAAAAATATAGAGTATCCATAGTGAGTATGACAATAACAGGAAAACTAAAACAAATTTTCATCCTACATTTTAAAAAGCGTCAGGTCACAAGAACAGAAAATCAAACACTGCATGTTCTCACTCATAGGCGGGTATTGAACAATGAGAACACATGGACACAGGGAGGGGAGCATCACACACTGGGGGCTGTTGGAGGGAAATAGGGGAAGGACAGCGGGGGATGGGGAGTTGGGGAGAGATAGCATGGGGAGAAATGCCAGATATAGGTGAAGGGGAGGAAGGCAGCAAATCACACTGCCATGTGTGTACCTATGCAACAATCTTGCATGTTCTTTACATGTACCCCAAAACCTAAGATGCAATTAAAAAAAATAAAAAATAAAAAACGTCAGGTGTACTTGTCACTTTCTATTTTGCAGATGAGGAAATAAGACCAAAATAGATTACATATTTTAATCACATTCTCACAGATTCATGGAAGAACTCTGTTTCTTTTTTTTTTTTTTTTTTTTTTGAAAAAACGAAAAAGAAAATAAAAAAAAAGAAAAAGGAAAAAAAAAGAATAAAGGAAAGGAAGAAAGAGGAAGAGGAAGAGGGAGAGAGAACAGGGGTTTTGCTTTATTGCCTGGGCTAAAATGCAGTCTAAAAATGGGTGTGCCTGTAATTATGTTTAATAATAGAGACATAAAAAATAAAATAAAATAAATAAAATTAAAAAAAATGAGGGAAGAAAATAATTAACAAGCAGCCAACCAATATTTCATTTAAACCTGTAAATACGTGTGATGTAGTACTGATAAGAGTGTATACTTTGTGTATTTAAAGTGGAGAGTTCTATGAATGTTAATTAAGTCTACTTGTTCCGGATCAGATTAAGAACTCTGTTTCATAATTTTTAGACCAATTGTTTCATCACCAGGTCACCATATCTACTTTATATAGAATTATAGAGCTAAAAGTTAAAATATGTGAAGTTAATTGTTTCCTATAGAAAAAACTCAGTAGCTGGCTGTCTAAACAAGCAAGAACTATAATGATCATGATGGGTAAGTATTTTATATAATTTGCTAGTTAGTAATTTTAGGATCCCACAGAGGATCCTCGAGATCTGTGTCTCTAAAATACTGGAACCAACTCTGTACCATAGAGGGAGCTCACATTTGAGAAGCACTTGAGAAAGCTGGACTCCACGAGTAAGGAATTTGTATGTTTTTGCTCCTTAACTGAAATACCAAAAAACAGAAAACAAAACAAAACAAAATTGAAAACAAACAAAAACAAAAAACCCTCGAAGGAACGTTTGAATATGCAACATTTCCTTTAAAAGAATTTGTGAGAAAAACTCCTCTTATTTTAACCTTGAAAAGTTAAGTCATCCTAAAATGGGCTAGTTGACTTTCTTGTGTAATAAGAAGTAAGTAAACATAAATCTTTGATAATTATGGGTCTTAAAGTCATAATTTGGACTCTTTCAGAGCACTAGAACAATCTGTGTTTTTATTATTTGTGTTCATATTAGCTCCTTCACTGGACAGTCATTCCTTTAGGTAAAGACCATATCTTACATGTTTGTGTTTGTCAGTGCCTGGTTCAGATGCTCAATGTATGTTTATCTAATTTATTTGCAATTCTTATTCTAGGAATAGAAGGTTGGTTGAAATGACCACTAATCTCTGGAATTTGATATTTAAAATAAATCCCTGGTAACCTGTGTCATGTGGTTTTCATGGTTTCTTATAAGTTGACTGAAAAAAAAAATCCTGGTTAACCAAGGCTGAACGTATGAGGCTTCAATTAACAGAGGTTTTAGTGTATACAGCTTAAAGATGCTGTTAGGATATAACGAACAGATTTGGGGAAATCTTGGTACTTCTGATGATTGAACAAAATGTTTGGTAAATTATAATTTATTTAATAGAACAAGCAAACAAGTTTATCTTCATAGACAACAATACTACTCCTTTAAGGTACATATTTTCTTTGCTGACAATGATACTTGAGAAGGAAAAAAAAATCCAAACACATCTAGCTAGCTGTACAATATTTGTAATATGAAAAAATCTTCTTAATCTTTGAGGTGATCAACTTACATCCAAAAGTATGAAATTTGATTACCCTTCCTCAGTAGTAGAATTAAAATAATTTGTCATAACATTATCCAGGGATAATGATGTTGATATTGATATCATTATCCCTCTGGATAACTATATTCAATCAATACGTATTGATAATGATATCCAATTGATATTGAACAAGCTCTCCATCACGCAAGCTCTATTGAGATTCATGTTCTGTTTCTCACTGAGGCACTATGAATCCTCTGTTTCCTTTCACGCATCTAAAAATTATTTAATATTCCTGGCTAACCCATAATGGAGCTGTCATCCTTGATTGTATTCTTCTTAGAGTGTCAATATTTCTTTTTTTTGCCTGTTAATCTTTTTGAGAACAAATTACATGCCTCTTTTGTGTAAAATAATCTTTTATTTGTTCCAGCTATACATATTTCAACCTTAAAGGGATATCCTAAGGGTTCAGAAGTAAAATCAGGGGGTTCCTAGATTTCTGAGTTAGCCCCTTAACACCAGTGGTCATTTTAGTTAACCTTGTTTGGACCTTATCTTTCTGGTGATTTCCTTGACGAAATGGGTAGAATTATAAGCATGATTATATGCATTGGGATGGTATTGAAGTTTGGTTATACTTTATCTTGGTTTCTTTGCTCTTTCTGATTTTAACCAGTAGGTTGTTTAATTTTGTCTTTGATTTAGCATGGCTGCTGTCTTTCTGATGTCCATGCTTCTTGGCCTTGCATGTGGGCAAGCGATGTCTTTTTGTATTCCAACTGAGTATACAATGCACGTAGAAAGGACAGAGTGTGCGTATTGCCTAACCATCAACACCACCATCTGTGCTGGATATTGCATGACACGGGTATGTAGTACATGTCACTTCTTTTGGCTGCAAATTATGTAAGCCTTGAAGAAGTCCATTCTTATGTAGAAAGGAAATGAAATAAATCACAACCTCATTTCCCAAACCTAATGGTTATTGGCTCCTTAGAAGCAGAGTACACAGGTTACAATATTATGTGGATCTACTCAGCACAATGGATACAGATAATTTTGTAACAGTTTTTTGTCCCAGATTTACTTAAACCTTATCTTGTTCCCATGATCAAGGATAAAAGAGAGGAGGGTGACTCTTTTGTCTCAGTAGGATTCAACGTGGTTAAGCTAGTATTGGAGAATGGGGCTAAGGAATTCTTTCCAGTTGTACTTGTGATGAAGGAATATAAGTGAATTTAGTTTTATGTTTCCATTATCCACATGTTTCCTAAAGTCCTGTCACATTTTGGTCTCTTTTTTGGTCTTTCCTCAGGATATCAATGGCAAACTGTTTCTTCCCAAATACGCACTGTCCCAGGATGTTTGCACATACAGAGACTTCATCTACAGGACTGTAGAAATACCAGGATGCCCACTTCATGTTGCTCCCTATTTTTCTTATCCTGTTGCTTTAAGCTGTGAGTGTGGCAAGTGCAATACTGACTATAGTGACTGTATACATGAGGCCGTCAAGACAAACTACTGTACCAAACCTCAGCAGTCTTATCTGATGGGATTTTCTGTCTAATTTTAATAGTGATATAATTTGCAATTTGGTTAAATGTGCTTGCCTGAAATAAAGCTAATAGAAATATTATGTTTCACAGTATCTTGTATTCATTTTGAGTACTATTTAATCCATACCCATACCTAACAGGCGTTAGTGAACTTAAGGAGTTTTAGAAGAAAAGGTGAATGAATAGGCCTTCTAAGCTCAGATGAAGGATGGTTTTCACGTGAAAGAGCAGAGTGGAGGTAAAATGGAAAACAGAGATATGAAATGCCGAAAAGCTCGCCTCGAGCAGGCTCTCCTAACAGAGGGCCAGAAGGTTTCTATGACTTAGAAAGTAAATGTGGGACCACTACAGAGTTATGAAGAGAGAGTAATGCAATCAAAAGCTGAAGGAATACATGGTGTCAGGGTACTAGGGACACCTACTTCCAAGGCTAGAAGCAGGGCTGGCGTGGAGGTGGGGAATAAGGAGCACGTGGAAGGTACAATGCAGTGGTTTATCCTTGTCATTCAAATGCACTGGATAAAACTCCACCAAAACTCAGAAGTCTAGGAACTATTCTCTTTAATTAATTACTCTGGTGGGCCAATTGATCTATGAAAGTTATACCCCCAAAAGTCAGTTTACAAAGCCTAGAAAAGAGGCCACGATCATTTTACATGTGGAAGTCTAAATCCTTCATAGTCCTTCAAGTAATAGGAGATGCTTTTCAGCATTTATACCAAAAGCAACTGGTGCTGTTTTGACTTTTAATATAATGAAAAACTATTATTATTATGAAAGGCTTTAGGGATGGGGGAAAGTGCAAAGGGATTTGAGAGAGTAGAATTATCCTAAATTCTAATCTAAACCTTCATCAATATTGAAACACTGTTTTCTGGTAAATGTGCTTGGTAAGCAGCTGTTTATTTTTCTTTTCCTTCCTTAGGTACTCTTTCATGAGAATTTGGTTTCAACAGATGATTGAAGTGAGACAGACCTAGTGTCCTGCAGACTTGCTCTCAAAAAGATGATATATCCTCTATTTGTCCATTCCGTTTCATTCACACTGCCCCCACCAAGGTGAAAATCAGTTGTTGGTGGGGCCAGTTGCCTTTGCTATATTCTACAGCCACCAGTTAAACTCAGCTAGGCATATTGTAAATGTCTGTATGCTGACAGTGCATGGGGTGGGTGGAGGAGGGTGGTGATGGTGGTGGTGGGGTCCTGTAGATGGATTAGTACAATGGGGAGGGAATAGATGTGTATTTACATGCAGAAGTCAGAACCCACATTATTTTTACTTTAATATCTGAAGTTGATATTTACATGGTCTCCCTATATTAATCTAGGGTTTTGGATTCTCATGTCAGTTGATAACATGGACATTTAAAGCTGCATACCACTTAAAACTGTATACCAAATATAGATCTTTGACTAATAAGTGAAAAGTCTAATGTTCAAGTCTAACTGGCACTAGTCACACATGCCTTCATGGATTCTGAAAATTTTTTTTCAGGGATTTGAACTGTGGAAAGGCCAAGAGCTTTAGGGAGGCCCCTTATAAATAGTCCCGATCAGAAGACATGACTTAAATGGGCTTGCTCAACCTGCGGGGAGGAGGCTAGGCCTGGACATGGGTGTGGTGGGCCTGTCCCATCATGAGCTGCAAAATATTAGATTGGGCACATCAGAGACAACGTGTTTCCTCCCACTGATGGCAGTCCACCCGTAACACGAATTACAGACGGTCTCTGACTTACAGTGGTTTGACTTATGATTTTTCAACTTTACAAAGGGTTTATCTGGGTGTAACCCCATCACAAGTCAAGGAGCATCTTTGTATTAAACTATTCTTGACAGTGGAGCTGTCCAAGGCAGAGAATTCTTAGTATAGTGCATAGGCATTGGAATGACCAACAATTTGCATCAACTGGATCCAGAAACTCAGGCATATGGAAATAAGTTTGTTTTGGAGGATCTTGGTGTTCTTTGGGTTTAAGAGCGGGAGAATGAATAGAGAGATTAGAAATGGGAAGGTGAAGAATCATTACTTGTATAATCAGAGAAAGATGGAAACTGAAACATCTTCTGAAGGGATCATTAAATTCAACCCAATGTTTAAAGGAGTCAATTCTTGGCAGAGGAAACTTGAGACTAGGTGCTTTTTTTAAAAAGTCTCTTTTATTCCTCATTTGACTCTGAAATATAAAAGGAAATTAATAATAAAAACTCTCCTTTATGAGGAAATTGGTTTCTTTAAAAAAAAAAGATGAGCAAGATTGAGTCTCAGTGCAACAAAAATTATTTTATAAAGGCAACTTCCACTCTGTTGTTCACTGTTGGGTTCTTCCCTACTTGCTCATCTCTCCGGGTTAACTCCCACTTATAAGACCACTCCGTCTCACTTTCTCTACTTCCGCTACCCTCCTTCTACCTGCTGCTTCTGCCTGTTTAGCATCCATGTCCTTTCTTCTGATAGATGCATGTTGATTTCCGTCTTGGGTTCTCTCATCTCCAGTTTGAGTTCAAGTGGTTTCAGTGGGGATGATGAAGGTGGGTATGCTACTAGACTCGATCAAACCTGAACTATTAGAAAGAGAAGTGGTTGGCCTATTGGGGTTCCTAAACTGATAGAATGTGAGCCTGCAGTTGCTGCTGGCCATCTTTGGCATCCTTTGGAAACAGCTAGCTCTCCAACCTAGTGGAGAGCACAAGAGACTGCGGAGAGAGAGACCTGTTGATATCATTTGAGCCTAACCTGAAGCTGGCTTTATCCCTTAGAAGAAACCATAACTTCCTTTTTCTGCCCCGTTAGAGTTGGGTTTCTGACACTTGCAACTGAGAAGTTCTGATGGATTCAGCATCCTTCCCATTAGTTTCAGAAGATGCTCCTAATTCCATTCCTCATCTCCCCTAGGACCTTGCTGTTTGCTTCTGTATTTTCTCTTGCTTCCTCTTTCTTGATTCCTTCTTTTCACTATGAAGCATCCTTAAATCTCTTCCCATCATAAAAAAAAGAAAGGGCAAAAAACAAAATAAAAAAAAAAACCCTCTCTTGATCCTTTGCAACCATCTAGTTATTTGCCCTCTCCCTCCTTTATTTTTTATATTAATTTTTTTTTTTTTTTTTTTTTTTTTTTTTGGTGTGTGAAAGAGCCCACTACACTAACCAACTACTTCCTCACTTCTCATTCTCTTCACAATCATTATAATTTGTCTTCCAATATTATCCCCTCTTGAAACTGTTTTCCGTAAGGTCAACAATGACTTGCTATGGGCCAATATACAGGACAACTGTTAGTCCCAATCTGCCCTGACCTCCCTTCTTCCCTAGAGAGCCCAGTGGTGCTCACATATCTGGATTCACACGGCAATACATGCCATTGTAGCAGCCTTGCCAATGCACCACCATGTTTTAGTTTTGTTGTTTATAGGTAGGACCCAGATTTCTTTGTCTTACTACCAAGAAAATTAAGGAGCATGAAGACTAGGTGAAGATGAAGCAAAAGTTTAATAAGTGAAAGGAGAAAGTTCTCCACAAGAGAAGCAGGGGCCTGAAAGAGAATTGCCATTCTACAGTCGAATACAAGGGCTTTTATTAACAGGCTAGCAAGGCAAGACATTTCATTTACATAAGGTGTGAAAAATGGTTAGACTAGGCGTTTCATTTGCACAAGGCACAAATTCCTGACAGTTCCTCCCTGTCCTTTTAGCGCACATGTGGACTCGTAGCCTGTTACTCGGTTCCTTAGTTTCCCTTACTGTGCATGTGGAAGGGGGCGGAATTCTCCACTGCAGATGTGCCAGGTCCTGTGTTACTCCTCTTGGGCATGTTTCAAGCAAGCCCCCCCACTCCTGCGCAAACTCCCTTATCTGAATATGTTCAAAAAAGGAAAGGAATGTGCTCACTGAAGCCTACAGTATGTATGTGACCCTTGCTAATTACACAGGAGGCATCTTCGTGGTGGACCTTTCCTCCTTGTCTATGCTTGCAGCCTGATTTTTCAGGCTGTTCCTTTATTAGACAAAAGGAATTCTACGGAGGACCTATTCTAGCTATCTGCCTAACAGGTTCCCTTCTCTCTCTTCCCTCATTATGGCATTTATAATCAGTCTTAAGATGAAATCCTTGGAGGGTGGGGAGTTGGGGAGAGATAGCATGAGGAGAAATGCCAGATATAGGTGATGGGAGGAAGGCAGCAAATCGCACTGCCATGTGTGTACCTATGCAACTATCTTGCATGTTCTTCACATGTACCCCAAAACCTAAAATGCAACAACAAAAAGATGAAATCCATATTCTCTCCTTTTTTCATATGTTTTCTTTCTACTGTCCTTCTCCAAGATGACTCAAAATCTATGCCATGGTCTTTAGCAGTCAGCAGTAACATAGGTCTGGACTGTACTTTTGCTTGGTGATTTTGCTTGATTCTGCATGGATGAAGATTCTAAACTTTGTGAAAGACGGGCCAGTGTGGTGATAACTATATGTGTTGTATTGACACTTCAGACATTGTTAAATGTACAGCATATGAGAAACCTGGGTTTGTATTAATTCAGCCTTGGATGTCCTAAGAATTTATATTCATTAAAGACAGTTTTGATGGCAATTGTTAAAGAAACACAGGCAGCTAAGAGATACTCTCCAGGTTTAGATTAAGGAATAGGTGGGGAGCAAATAATTGTTCTGGGCTTTTAACTTACTAAAGTAAGTTTAAAACTTTCTTGCTGGGGATTTAATCATATAAGCTGGCTTATCTTGTTTAGATATGGGCATTACCACTCTTATATTGATTCCTATGGTTTTAATCCAGACTTATTTTCCTGAGCTTCAGGGCCATATTTTTAGTGCCTGTTTATATGTCCTCATTGGTATCCAATAATCATCTCCACCCCATGTCATCATCACAAACTGCTTTTCTCCCGTGCACCACTATCTTCTACCTGCCAAGTCGAGGACCTGGGAATGATTCCAGATTCCTTTTTCTCTTATCCCTCGCATCTAATTCCTCTTAAGTCTGTCTACTCCTTGTAGGGTTACCAGTACATTAGTTATAAATCTTCCGACTCTGGTGTTTGCCATCCTGCAATCCTTCATGTTAAGACTGAG